AGCAGCAGAGGGGCAAGACACTCCATGTCGCATTTCGCTAGGATTAATTTATCATCTTCATCTTGATAGAAAAGTGAGCAACTAAGTTCATCGAACTCATCTATTTTCTCGGACATTCTGTAATAAAAGTAATCCAAACTGGAATTCCCAAACAGAACAAATGTTCTTAGGAATCTCAACTCCATTCTTAGCTTTACAATGTCATCCAATTTTGATGAAGCAATTATTTTTTCATTCTTTATTTTCTTCAAGCCATTTAAGAAATCATCAATATGACTGCTGATTCTTCTTCTTTCTTCCTCAAATGGAAGCTGCTAAATTAAAAACCAATAATTAGTCGGGATATATGTCAATTTTCAGCTGAATGCCTCTCAAAGTGAGAGAGTCTTTCCATTATATAGAGAAAATAAAGATTACACATCCCTAAAGATCTGTCATTCTATCCCTAAAGATCAACTATTCTATCTCTACAAATCTGTTATTCAATCCCTCTAAATCTGCCTTGCTATCCCTCCAAATCAGCTATTCTATCACAATATTTATTCATATGATTCTACAACAAATGTATATGATCATGCTAATTTATATCACTATATAATTACATTAATATATACAATCATTTAGTTGTCTATCATGCTAACATCCCCCCTCAAATTGATGCTGGTGGATCAAGAAGCATCAATTTGCCTACTAGAAACTGATGGCGTTGTCGTGCCATGGATTTTGTAAACGCATCAGCTATTTGAAGATCACTGGACACATGTGGAAGAGTAATGACTCCTTTATCTACAGCTTCTCGTATATAATGACAATCCACTTCGATGTGTTTGGTCCTCTCATGAAAAACTGGATTAGTAGCAATCTGAATAGCACTTGTATTGTCAGCGTGGAGAGGAGTAGGATGAGATTGGGGAAATCCAATCTCAGCAAGTAATCCACGAAGCCATACAACCTCGGAGCAAGCAGTAGACATGGATCGATAGCCTTTGTTGAAGATTTTGACACACGATCTTGCTTTTTACTCTTCCAAGATATCAATGACTCTCCAAGAAACATGCACCAACCAGAGACTGAACGACGAGTATCAGGACATCCCGCCCAATCAGAATCACTAAAAGCATTAAGACGAATAGGAGAACCACTTGGAAAGAACAATCCACGAGTAGATGTTCCTAGAAGGTACCGAATGATGCGACGAACAGCCACCAAGTGGAGATGACGGGGAGCTTGCATAAATTGACTAACTTGTTGAACTGCAAAAGAGATATCAGGCCGAGTAATAGTAAGGTAATTTAAACTCCCAACTAATTGTCGAAATATGGTTGGAGCAGGAAGAAGATCGCCTTCCTCACGACGATACTTGACATTCATTTCCAGTGGAGTATCTACGGAGGCGAAAACTTGAAGACCAGCCAAAGAAATCAGATCCTGAGTATATTTGTGTTGGTTTAGAAATACACCTGAAGCAACATTATGAACTTCCAAACCAAAAATAAGTAAGAGTACCAAGATCTTTCATATGAAAAGAATCTTTAAGTTGTTGTTGGAGGCTAGTGATTAGTGAAGAATCAGTTCCTGTCTGTAGATGTTTTCTGAAGAAACAAAGATGAGTCATATTTTCTCTGCTCAAAAGAAAATTGTAGCAAAGTAGACCGGAACTTATCAAACCAAGCTCTTGGAGCTTGTTTTAATCCATACAAAGATCGCTTCAACTTGCATACATCTGATATAGGCGATGAGAACAAACCAGGTGGAGGTTTCAAATAAATATCTTCTTTAAGATCACCATGGAGAAAAGCATTTTTGACATCCATTTGATAAAGAGACCAGTTTTGTGAAGCAGCAATGGCAATAATAGTTCGCACCGTAGATATGTTGGATAAAGTAGAGGAAAAGCCATACCAATTGGGAGTACGAGATACTCTTGTAGATCGCCGAGTAGGCTCAAGAGGACCAGATCTTGAAGAATTCTCAGATTCTAGTTGTGGTGCAGTTTCAGGCGGCGGATCAGTGTCGGGAGAGGGTAAAGTTGGCCGACGTCGTTCATACACAAATCCAGGTTTGAACCTCTTAAAAGAAGATGATAAATCCTCAAAAATAGGAAGAAGAGGAGAAACAGAAGATGAATCTACAATTGTAGGAAAGAAATACTGATTCTCAAAGAAAACAACATTTCTATAAATACGAAATTTGTGAGAACATGGATCATAGCAAATAAAACCTTTTTGTGAAGTACTATAACCCATAAAAGCACATTTAGTAGATTGTACAGAAAGTTTATTGCGTTGCGAAGGAGGCAAATGCACAAAACAAACACAACCAAATGTATGAAAATACTATAGTTAGGATTTTGGTGATAAAGACGAAAATATGGAGACTCAAGATTTAGCACTTTAGATGGCAATCTATTAATTAAATAGACAGCAGTAGACAAAGCTTCCACCCAATATTTAGATGGTACAGATGACTCAATCAATAAAGTACGAGTGACATCTAAAAGAGGCCTATTTTTTCGTTCAGCAACTCCATTTTGTTATGGTGTATATGGGCAAGAGTGTTGTGAGAAAATTCCTTTGTCTAGCAAGAATTTTTTGAATTCATAAGACATATTCTCCACCAGAATCAGATCTTAATAATTTGATGCATGTAGAAAATTGAGTCTCAATGTAAGCCAAAAAATGTCTTGAACATGGAAAATACCTCAGATTTGGATCGAAGAAAATACACCCATGTAAACTGACTATAATCATCTATGAATGTCACAAAGTATTTGAAATGAGCATGAGAAATAATTGGTGAAAATGCCCCAAACATCACTATGAATGACATCAAAACACTTTATAGCACGACTACCAAAATTAGGAAAAGGAAGAGTTTTACTTTTGCCTAATTTACAAGTAGAACAATCAATGGAAGCAACTGGAAATTTATTTTTAATTTCCCAATAAACCAGAATTTGATAAATGAGACAACAACAACAGAATTTGGATGTCCTAGACGCTTATGCCAAACCTCGGTTTTACTAACAGTAGAAGTACAAGCAAAAGATAGAACATGAGGAATGGAAAAATGTATAGGAAACAATTATCCAACTTTAGGCCCCTTTGCGATTATCGTCCCCGACACCTAATCCTGCACAAGACAACCATTACGAGAAAAATTCACATCACAATTGTTATCTACCAATTGTCCAACTGAAATAAGACTAGTTGAGAGCTTTGGTGAAACAAAAACAGTCTTGAAAGTTGGAGTAATGTCCCCAATCTTGGTAATGGGTAAATTACTACCATTGGCAATCTGTATTTGTGATGGACCTTGATACTTACGAACATTTTTTAGGATGCTCGTTGAGTTGGTCATATGATTGGAAGCGCCTGAATCAACAATCCAAAAATTAGATGTAACATCATTACCTTGTAATCCCAATGCTGAAAAGGATGACACAATCATTTGTTGTACCATTTCAGGAGTAAGAACTTGTCCTGAAGATGAGTTATCATCAGTGGAACCATTTATCCTAGCTTGAAAAGCATTGATCCTACGATTTTGAGGGCGCGTGGGACACTCTTTGATAATGTGTCCTTGTTGTTTACAATAATTACAGAACTTCTTGCTACAATTGCTAGCAATATGACCATATTCCTTGCAACTGTAGCATTGAGTTCTACTCATATCCCTGCCCTTTCCTTTACCTTGAGCAGCAAATGCAACAGTGACATCATTTTCTTTCTTAAAAGCATTTTGTGTGACAAGACGTTGCTCTTCACGAAGTAATTCCCTAAAGCAAACATCCAAAGAGGGAGACTTCACGTCACAATTGTTATCTACGAATTGTCCAACTGAAATAAGACTAGTTGAGAGCTTTGGTGAAACAAAAACATTCTTGAAAGTTGGAGTAATGTCCCCAACCTTGGTAATGGGTAAATTACTACCATTGGCAATCTGTATTTGTGAAGGACCTTGATACTTCCGAACATTTTTTAGGATGCTCGTTCAGTTGGTCATATGATTGGAAGCGCCTGAATCAACAATCCAAAAATTAGATGTAACATCATTACCTTGTAATCCCAATGCTGAAAAGGCTGACACGATCATTTGTTGTAGCATTTCAGGAGTAAGAACTTGTCCTGAAGATGAGTTATCATCAGTGGAACCATTTATCCTAGCTTGAAAAGCATTGATCCTACAATTTTGAGGGAGCGTGGGACACTCTTTGATAATGTGTCCTTGTTGTTTACAATAATTACAGAACTTCTTGCTACAATTGCTAGCAATATGACCATATTCCTTGCAACTGTAGCATTGAGTTCTACTCATATCCCTGCCCTTTCCTTTACCTTGAGCAGCAAATGCGACAGTGACATCATTTTCTTTCTTAAAAGCATTTTGTGTGACAAGACGTTTCTCTTCACGAAGTAATTCCCTAAAGCAAACATTCAAAGAGGGAGACGGGTCACGATTCATCAAGTTAGAGAGAACACTCTCAAAGTCGGAGCGTAATTTCATCAAAAATTGGTCTCGCTTGCTTTGCTCATGAATTGCCTGAATCAACTGATAGAGATTCAGTAGGTATTTTGGCATAGACAATATCTGTAAATTCAGCCCATAAGTTTTGAAATTCAGAAAAAATAATCCTGAACAGAAAGACCTCCTTGAGAGTAATTAGCAATTTCATACTCCAACTGAAAGCGTCTTGCGCTATTATCTTGGTTGTAAACCTTTTGTAAGTAATCCCACATGGCCTTAGCTGTCTTATACGTCTTGAGATTAAGAACAATAAGAGGATCAATTGACCCTAGAATCCATGTCATCACCCGAGCATATTTAATCTTCCATTCACCTAGCTTTGTTGCATCAGTAGAAGCAGGATCGCTTCCATCTATATGGCCCCATAGTTCTTTTCCAGTGACAAACAACTGAAATTGAAACTCCCATGAAGAATAATTTTTTCCAGTGAAACGAACATTGAAGGATACAAAGTGATGTGAATTCATGCTTTTGAATAGCTATGAAAACTACAAAGACTCAAGAAAGCAACTAAAATGACCAAGAACAAAATTCCTAGGAGGTAGCCAAAAACCAAGATTTTCAATTTTTTTAAAAAGGAACCAAAGATGACTCTATGAAACAAGACAACCAAGAGAAGGCTCTGATACCGTGTCAATTTTCAGCTGAATGCCTCTCAAAGTGAGAGAGTCTTTCCATTATATAGAGAAAATAAAGATTACACATCCCTAAAGATCCACCATTCCTATCCCTAAAGATCAGCTATTCTATCTCTACAAATCTACCATTGAATCCCTCTAAATCTGCCTTGCTATCCCTCCAAATTAGCTATTCTATCACAATATTTATTCATATGATTTTACAACAAATGTATATGATCATGCTAATTTATATCACTATATAATTACATTAATATATACAATCATTTAGTTTTCTATCATGCTAACACTTTTCACTAATAGCTGTCCCTCATGTATATTTACTGAATCATGAAATTCTGAGATGTGTTTGTTTATAATTTATGCTGGATCTTCTTTAATTTTAAAACCTTCAATCTAATGCCTTCGGTTGGAATCTCTAAAAGAGGAGCATAATTTAGACTAAACTTTGTTGTTATTGGGTCTGTTAATTTCACCTGAGGCCTCTGTTGGCAGTGAATATTTTGTTTTACAGTCCCTATTTCTTGATCTGCTCACTGTATATTTGAAGGAGCTCATACTTTTCTTCTACTTATCATCATACTTTACTTGCTTGGGTAAAAAAGAGTAATAGATATACCCTTTCTATCCCACATCTTCGTGGTCACATATGAATTTTGAATGAGATATGATTTATTTTAGTCTCCATTTCTATTGTACGCGGAGTAAAAATTCTTTAATTATCGCTTCGCAATTTGGTTAATCAATATCTAATCTGTTTGTCTTATATTGAACTTTATCAAGAAATGATCTTCACTTTTTCTACTCGTCAGGCTCATGCTGCTTTCCCGCGGATGGTTTAACATCTTCATGAGGATGATCTTAGTGTGAAGACAAGCTTGCCGAGTAAGTTTAATCTGCTAGATTTTATTCCTTATGTTGTTCAGGATGCATAATGAGTTAACTTTTCAACACGCCAGAACACTTTGAAATCCATTGCTCCCTTGATGGAAATTGATGGAATAACTGCTGTTTTCAACAATCATTGATTTAGTTTGGACCATCAGTATGTACCCATTGATTTGAATAGTCCTTAATGGTTATTCATGAGAAATTTATATTAAGTTGCCTTCAATTTTTAGAGGCGACTATGAAGACTTTCTTCGAGAACTTGCAAGGCAGCTAACTCAAAATTTTGCTGCCCGAGTAGATAGGTACATGACATCAATAATACAGGTCTGTATTCTTTTTCTAATCTTGCATTTGTAGAAGAACTTTTGAAGGTATACATGTGTTTGTGTTGAAATGACATTAAGTTTGGTGCTATAATGAAACTAGTACAAGAAAAAAAGTTGTGAATTTCCTACCATTCAAAGTAAGTGCAGTTCCCCTAAGAAGCTGGTGGGTTTCGTAAAATCATATTCATACTAAAATAGCTGTCAAATTTTGTTGTTATAAAATTTTCAAGTTGTTGAGATGGTTCGGGGCATGTGAAAAGGAGGTGCGCAGATGTGCCAGTAAGGAGGTGAGAAAGGTTAACTGTAGCTGGAGTTAAGGAGAGGTAGGCCTAGGGGAGAGATAATTAAGCAGGACATGACACAACGCCATCTTACTGAGGACATGACCTTAGATAGGAAAGTTTGGAGATCGAGAAAAAGGGTAGAAGGTTAGTAAGTAGCCAAGTGATGTGGCACTTTATGTGTGGGAGGTAGGGTAATATTTAGTAGGTGGGAAGTCTCTTATACTTCTGTGTATTACTACTTGTTGTCTCATTTGCTTTGTATCTTGCTATTTTATTGTCATATTATTCTTGCAATTATGCTTCAGAAACTTTTCTTTTGAGTTGATGGTCTATCAGAAACATTGGGTATGTACCTCAGAGAACCTCGAGATGTATATTATATGTAGATGCCGCAGTTCCATTTTGATTCTAGTATGATTAGTTATTGTTGGTAATAGGATTCAAGTTGATATATTTGTTGAAAAAAGTTATGTTGATACACTGGTGTAAGAAAGCTCATGGAATTGACATAAAAGTAGTGACGGACGGATATATGCTGTTTGTTGTTTATTCTTTTTTGATGTACTTGTTCCGTTGTCACACTGTGAGATGAAGTGCTTGAATTTCTAAATCTTCAGAAAGTAGTAGTAGGCATACTTTCACCACAGGCTTGTTCACAAGTAAATCAATGTTCGACAGGGGAACACCCTTTATTGAGAGATGCTCAACCAATGGGCGCTATCCCACCCTTCTTCCTTGATCTATGCATTCATGCCTTCAAAGTAAAGGAAGAATGGTGTAGTGTTTTTTGCTTTTAGTTCCCAATTAACTATTTATGGTATAGCTGAAAACGGCGAGACAACACATTTTATAGCCTCTTCTAAATGAAAAATCTGTGAGATGAAGTTCTTCTACACTCTGAAAACAACTTGGTAAACTTTCTGGTGTACAGGCATTTGATGCTCCTTCGCCAGTTGTCCAGGCAAATGCGGTTTGTTTATGCAGCAGCGTGCTCTCTCTCCGATGATATTACTACCATCAGGTCTTTCCTGAACACCCTTTGTTTGTCTAATTTTAGTAAAAGGGCCAGCCCGGTGCGTAAAGCATCTCAGCGGGGAAGGGCCGCACCCAACGGGTGTGATGTGGATAGCCTAACCTAATGTAACCATTAGTGGACGTTTCCATGGGTCAAACCCATGACCTATAGGTCACACGGAAACAACTTTACCGTTGCTCCAACTCTCCCTTTCACCTGTCTGATTTTAGTAAAATGATCTTTTTATGTTCTAAATCTTCTTGTGATCGTCTCTCTTTTAGGTTTTCGGGGATGCTGGTTGGCAAAATAAGTCGTTCAACGGATGCAATTGTTAGAGCAACTTGTTCTTCAGCTCCAGGCTTGTTGCTCAACTCATCAAACACAAGCTCATGGAAAGACATTTGATTTGATCGAGCTGATTCATCGCATAGAGGACATGAAGCAGAATCTGCTAGGAGATCATGATTCACGATTAGTATAACATTGTACAGATCCAAATATTTCTGCGAGGATTCCATTCTTTTTGTGCTGTATAGAAGGTTTAGCTTCTTATTATATCAATGTAACAGTCCTGTCCATCTGTTTGTAAAGTGATTTTTTCTCGTATCTTATGTTAAAACATTTTATTTCTATTTATATTGTAAAAGCTCAAGAATGATTCATGAGTAGCAGTAATATGTAATATTCTTTTTTTTTAATTGGATGCTTGAGCACTAAGAGCTTTTTGTGCATTCCAGGTATATATACATAGTATATTACTCCTTCCTAGTCCAGTGGCGGATTCAGGATTTAAAGGTTGTGGGTGATCATTTCCTTTAGCATAAAATACCTTGCTATCACACAATATAAATATATAGCTACTCGAATGTGTCAATAAAAAGTAAATGGTAAAACTATGAATAGTATTGTCACAAAAAATAACTTATAATCACAAGTCACAATGATCTAGTAGTAATATTACTATTACAAAAAAGTGACTTCTAGTTTTAAAGTCATAATTATGCTTGACGACTTTTCATATGTTGAAAACGATGAATAATAACATTATTGCTAATGGTTGCAAATATCTTACGCTCAGGGGCGGACCTACATGGAGTCCGCCGGGTGCTCGAGCATCCATTAACCTCGTTACGGAATATATATATATATATATATATCTATGTAGAAATTAAGAGGTATTTGTATAAAATTAACATAGAGCACCCAATGAATAATGGCTCTTGGGTGGGTGCTTAAAACCCTTTTAGTGTTGTTGAACCAGGGTTCAGATCTCACTGTTAGCATGTATTTTTTATATTTTTGACTCCACTATTTTTAGAGCACCCACAACCTTAAAATCCTAAATCCGACTTGTTTGTTCGTATATCACTAGGAGTTTATGAATAGGAAGTTTTTTTCCAGCATTTCCTGGATTGAGTCTTCAAGTAATATGTAAGAGAGAGGTGATGGCCTGGGATTGCCAACTTAGAGTACCAACTAAACATTTCATGCACCTTACAAGGTGCACACCAACATGCGCCTTGTAAGGATCAGGCTGCGCCTTACTACATATGATATCACGGCGTTCGCCTTCTATCCAAATGTTGTCTTTTTTATTTGAACTTTATTTTTTTGTTGCCCTTTTGAAAAAAAAAATCGATTCTTTTTTCCTTTCGGCTCTGAACTTGTCAACTTGATAAGCAAATAAACAAGTGACCAAGTTTGATGTAGATTTGACTTCACCAATACTTTAGCAAGGTCACTAATTCCCTTCAAGTTGAAGAACCTCTTGTTAGAACCCCGCACATAAACTATAAAATTATTGACAACTGAGATCTCGAAGCTTATTGCTATCAAACTCATTCATATTATACTCAGCCAATCTCATTATCCTGCTCTTCTCAAAACCACCAAATGAATTATCTGGATTCAAGCTAGTCATACCAAGAAGTAAGTCACTATTCACAACATCAAAACAGTTATTAAGCTTTTGAAGATGCAAATCAATAACGGCATAAAAAATGTCAACGCGCAAATGATGAGATTATGTAACATCAAGAGATTTACGCTTGGACTTTCCTGGAAAGTAGTTACCATTCAAATCTAGAATCATTATATCATGCTTATCACAAAAAGGGCATCACATTCTGGATAACGTAATAAAAATTCTTTCTCTACTGTCTTCAGTCTGGTTTACTTTAGAAGTAAGCAAGAAAAGACAAGATGAGACATCACCCATTGATAAATCAAATTCACTATCTCTCATATTTTGTAATTTGCTTTGTAAGAGTAAGAAATCTCATAGCATTGACAATATCTTTCATTCTTTGTAATGAGGAGCTCAACTCATTCGTCATCATTAGAACTTTCCACATCAAGCGCAACATAAAAGTAAAATCAAATTTCTTAATCATACGCCCAAGACTTTTAGCAACAAGTCTGTCAATATAATTTGAACACTCGCATCTAGTAAATTCAAGCACATGAATAACTGATGGAAATAGAATAATATGGCTATCCGATGTTCTATAATGAGAACTCCAACGAATCTGACCTAGACATTGAAGCTCACATTCTTGATTTAATCCTCGACCAGTATGCACTTCACGTGATATGAGCAACTCCTCTAACTTTTCAGCTTGATATTCTCAAAGTAAATTCTTGCGCTTAAAAGATGCTCCAACAATATTTTGCATATTAGTAACTAAACAAAAAAAAAAATCATCCACATTTTAATCCTTCTTTGCAAGAACTACAAGTGTTAACTGTAATTGATGGGCAAAACAAAGAATGCAATATGTCGATGAAGTCTTATTCAAAATCAAAGTCTTAAGGCCATTTAATTAATTCTCCCTGCATGTTGTTAGCTTCATCATAACCTTGTCCACGAATTTGAGATGGACTTAATGAGTGATCTGAAAGAAAAGCGTAGATTGCCTCCTTTAATGACGAGCAGATGTATCACTAACAAGAATAATATCAACAAATTACTCTATTACTTCGTCTTCTTTGTTAACATATCTCAGTGTCATTTGTTCCTTGTGTGATATATCCTTCAATTCATCAATTAATATTCCAAAATAATCTCCATCTAAGTCTTCAATGATAGCTTTGATTGTTTCTTTAGCACAAGAATCAACAATATCCTTTTAAATAGTTGGGGAACACATCATTTTATTTTTTGGAGCATTTTTTAAAATAATGATTCCAACATCTTGATCAATATCTCCATACCATTGCAAAAATTTAAGAAGATATCGTTATTTGAAGAAGATCGACTCTCATCATACCCACGAAATGATAACCCTAGTCTCAAGAGAAATCTTATCACATCGACTGAAACACTTAAGTGACGTCAAGACTCACTTTTTTCTTTCTTGAGTTTCTTGTCAAATTAAAGAAAGTGTGTATTGACTGATTCATTAAATCAAGCATCCTTTTGAAACTCTTGTCGTAGACACTATTTACATCTCCAACATGAGCTCTAAATCTTTCAAGAGCTTTGTTCCAATTTTTAAAATCATTCATTGTAAAAGTAGCATCACTCATATTTCCACGACTTTTACATTCATTTAAAATAAATAGCAACACAAGCAAAATGCAACATCTTTTGTTATGTTGTACGATCCAACCACGTACGAACTTTAAATTAATTAGGACAAAATTGATGCATTTTCTTTCCAAATTGAGTTTTAGGAAATTCATGTTCCTTTGATTGACAAGGTTTTTTTTTTTTGGATATAGAATCTTCTAATTTCGTCACGTATATTAGGATTATATCCTGCAATGGGCTTTTTAATTCCTGGGTCAACTTCAAGAGATTCTAAATCAACATCTGGAATAAATATTTTCCTTTGAGTTTTTGGAGCTACAAGTGAACCGGCACATTGATAAGTAGAACTAGAACTTAAATGCCCAATTTTCAATCTTATGGCATATCTATCTATCTTGATTCACAAGATAAATTTCTACAAACCAAAATTCAATTTTACCATAGATTCAATTCACATAGTTCAATCAATTCTTATAGAAACCCATGACTCTCTATTGACAATCAATCTAAACAATATATTTCTGATGTAAATTGTAATGAGTCAATGAGCACAAATCCTTCAATCACACAATTAGTATTTATTCCACAATTTAATTTTCAATTAAAGAAGTTGTAATAAAATAAATTATATTTTATCTAAAAAGCATTGAAGTACTCAAAATAAAAAAATTTAAACCATAAATCACCAAGTGTTGAAACTTTAAATTAATTGATCAAGTAAAAAAATATCTTGAATCTATTTTTCTACTAGAAATAAGCAGTGAAAATTTTCAACCCTAATTTCAGAAATTCTAAAAAAATTCAATATCTAACTTTAATCAAAACACCAGATCTTGTTACCTTGTTTTTGTATTTTGTGAAGAAAAAACTTGTTTTACTTTTTTTTTTCTTCTTAAAAGTGGAATGGGTTATATTTTAAAAAAGTTGAAGGAAGTACGGAAGTAAAAAAAAGGTTAATGAAAAAATAAATGTCTAAAGTCGATAATAAAAATTGGAACTACAAGAAAAATGTGTAATTTATGGAGAAAATTGGGCTGCTAGCAAGATTCGATCCCTCAACCTAGCAAGGTCCTACACGCGAAACTTTAAGTTTCGCCTCAGAATTAAAGAACTCATCAGTGTTTTTGTTTAATGGGTGCTAATATCTATTCTATACCCGTTTTTGCAGATTTTCTATATAATTTGTCGGGGTCAATGGGTGCTCCCCGATTTTCTTATTTGTTGTAGAAAACTAGTGAATCAGTAGAGATCAAAGAACGACCCCGCCCATCTCTTGCTCTTCACCTCATTTTGCACACTTTCAAATTTGATCATATTTACAAACCTTACATCACAAAATCGGATAAAATGTTAAGTTTAGAATTAAATTAAGTGAACTAATAAGGAAATAACTTATTGAATGCATTTTTAATTCCAATATATATATCCTCTCGCTTTTTTCACGTCGCTGCTTTCGATCGGCCGGTGCCGACTTATTAGTGATAGATTCCCGTCAACTTCTCCTCCGGTTGATTTACGGTAACAATCTCACCCTTTGTACTCGTTAAGCACAAATTTTCTGCTCGACATTAATTTATTCAGTTAAGTATCTAGCTGTGATTTTTTTTTCTAATTTCTATTTTTTGTTCAAAATATGAGATTTAAGAGTTTAACTTGATTCATTGAAACTTCTTCTTCAGGAAACTTGTATGTGGTACATAGAAATTAGATATGGATGAGAAAGAATATCGTGGAGCTTTAGTTTCACTTAAAACCGAGCACGAAAGCTATGTGATATGTCCCCTTGAGTCTCATGAATTAAGCATGGGACTATATAGTAATAACTCCAAAAACCCTTTTCCTTGTATTCTCTTACTAAGAATTGAGAAAATGATGAACAATGAGCTTAAACTTCAGCTCAAACTAATCAACAATGGTGATCGAAGTTATTAACAGAGAAACATT